TTTTCGGGAGATACAGTGAGCTTGAGCAAATGTTTCAGTTCTAGGGCTGCACAAATTCATTTTGGACAGGAAAGGAAGTGGAAGATTAACACACATCCATAAATGCATGATGTTGCCGGTTTGGACCTCATCCTTCGGCTGAAAAATTCGATATGCTTTTGTTTTCTCTTCAGATCTTTTACATTTGGTTACGTGCTCAAAAGATTATTCATTTTGAACAACTGAAACGCTTGCGTTACTATCAAAATCATACAAATTCGAAAGAAAAACTGAGCTAGGCGTGACTGCTGAACACTCACTTGTATACTAATTCGAGGTAAAAGCGAAGGCGAGGCCCACATCTAGAAAATCCCGAGCTCTAGTAAAAATCAAACCTTCAAAATCCCAGGTGAGAAATGACGGCAAGGCTCATACCAAGGGAACCATGAGCCCAGCTCTGAAAGATTACGACTTCTATAATACCAATATACCTCGTCTTAAAAGTCAGCTGATAGGTAAGCGTTTCGCAAAGAAAGATACCTTAGCAACACAATTTGCTTTATATCTTTGTAGAAACCATCCCAGAAAGTCATATGATCCTTCAGATGCAGACTGATTCTTTTAGCGGAGTAGGATGCCCGATGAGGTCTTACTTGGGACCATAAAAAACTGGAGGAAAGTACTCAAAAACTGCAGCACTACTCAAAATTGATTAAGAATTAAAATAAAACGATTCCTAAAGTGTTTCATGCAAGAATCTCACAGAGCAAGGGGTATTCGTATCGTAAAACGAAATTCCGGTTCACTACCGTAGGCGCTCTGCTTTGAGCTATTCTAGGAGATGTAAATAGCAGCCATTTTAGCAGTCCTACTCCAGATTTTTTTTGGCTGACATTCGCCTGATGTTAAGCAATTTGAACGCCTCCGCAACGATTGTGTTCCTACGGAAATCGCTCGAATGCCTTTATAAGGCATCCAAAATAACTAGCTGACGTAAGAATGTGTGGTAGGCAGAGCGGTGACGAAGTATGTAAATTTGACCGGAAATCAACCCATTAAAAACAGCTCCTCGTGGAATGGAGCGTTCTGATGACGATATTTCAACCAAGCAAAGATTTTGGAGCACCTACCCAGTATTACATGACGACAGATAACCTTTCCTTTACAGGCGCAGCTTGTGAAGGTTCACGAAGAACTACAGAGTAAACCCAGGTTGAACTTGGCCAGTTTGAAAAGAAGTGATAGTAAGGGATAAGCTCGAGGTCATAACCTTTGCATGAGCAACGACATTCTTTCAAACCAACAGCTTTCTTATTCGTGGCTCCGGTTAATCTAAACGGAGTCTGGAAGGAGATGGGAATTAATAGGAAGAAGAAAACCCCCGTAACCAATTCCCATCTTATATTTGTCGCCTACGGAAAGGGAATCATATTATGCTTCCATATCACTACTGTTGAATTACCATATTTTATTATTATTATTATTATTTTATCACATTATCATTATTATTATCTTATTATCATATTTTAGGCGCGGCGTGGGGCAAAGGCATGTGCCGTCCCATCACACGCATGTTCCGGGGATTGAGCTCCTTCTTCCCAGGACCAAACAAGCCTTCTTCCCTTCAGAGTCTCCTGGTAGGTACCAGATTAGCCTGAGGGGATAAAAGCACTGATTAGTAGATGGGCTGGCAATCGTTAGCCATTGTACAGGTCACATATGCCCTCAAACCTCCATTACGATTCTCAAAGAGAGTCGAACGAGGGGCGCATCACAAAAAAGAAACCGAGTAACTCTAGAGTGATTATCTCTCGTGTTTCATTTCCATATTTTGGGCCATTTTAAATCAGGAGGAGTTAACTAAACTCATTCGGCTATGGCTTGAAGGTAGGGAAGATTTTGATCTTGAAGCAAGCAGGACGGGGAATCGAATACATTGACGGATGGAACGGGGAGTATGGAAGGATCACACGCTGCACTCCGTCCTACTGGTTCGACCCTCTATGATCCGTACTATTCGCTGGAACTATAAGAACATTGAAAAGGTATTGCAACATCGTCATCACATGGTATATGCATAACTCTTTGGATAGTTCTGAACCTATGAACTCCTTTTTTTTCTAAAATTTGATGAAAAAGAATTAGTACATGGAGTAATTAATAGAGATGATGACTCAATCAAATCGCAGAAGCAAAAGCGACTTAACGGTAGTTGAACTCTATGCAAACACATGAGGAGACCGGCCTAGAAAAATTTAGAGATTAGACTTTTGTGAAAAAAATTGGTCTCATTTGATGATTTGCTGATTATTTGGACATGATTCATAGTGAAATCTGGGAAGTTCTCTGTTTTTTAACGTTCTCTTCCGGGAAGATATCATTCTTTGCTGACTATGAAATACAATAAAAGATGGTCATCAAAGGGCGTCATGATCCCTCTCTGAAATATACCGTGCATAGTTCCTTAGGCAAAATGTTAAAAAAAAGAAGATTCGAATGAATTTCTGGTCCCGCGTTCGATTTTATAGTGAGGGGCGATAAATTAAAAGGAAAAGAAACGAAACCTAAAAGACGGCTCTGCAGGGTTGTTAATCATGTTAATCAAAAGAAGTTTTTCTATAAAAACTAATGAATGGCTTGGTATTACGATCAATGAAGAGGATTTTTTCAAAAGACAACTAAATTACAGAGATTTTTGTGAAGTAAAGCAGTGAAGCCTTTTCATATGCTTTTAGGCAAACCACATATTAGTCGCCTGTAAAGGATAGATGAAAGACGTAGGAGAAGCATATGTTCTAATGGTGTTCAAATGGGACAACTAGAAGGATATAGAAGCATATAAGCTTTGAAGCTGATTATATAAAATAGTGACAGAAAGAAAAATTAATAATGAAATAACAGTACGACCAAGCATCACTGCTGGGTTAAAGCAATCAATTAAAAGGGTGAGGTCTATGGATTGAAGGTCAAGGAGAAGCGATTCGACCTGTAGGTCATTGCTTATTCCGAGAATTGAATATTTATTTATTTATTTATTACTAATTCTAACCAAGTTTTTTCCCAGTATACTATGAAAGTGATACTTCAGAGCTGCTTCAAAGTTCGCTGAAAATTAATTAGTTAAAAATAAAAATTTACAGGATGCAGGATTACGGTACGGATGCAAGGTTACGGTACTCTGAAAATTATTCTGCTTGAATATATATTTAGATAATTTTCTTTCAGAAAATTATTCAACTCATGAGGTCTGATTTATTTCTTGCTCCTGAAGTGATCGGGTTTTGAGAGAGAGGAAAGTAGATTTGAGAAACTTCGAGGGTCCATGTCGTTCTCATTCAAAAAAGAGGAACAAAATTACGTGGGACGGCAATTACGTGCGTAGGGTTACTCGAGTGAAACCTTTCGAATTCTAAGAATAATCTTGAAAAACAGCTAAACGTCATCATTATTGGCGCCGAGGAGTTCCGTGGGAAGGGATAAGTCGGTGGGTTGGTAGAGGAAGGATTATGGTGGTGATTAGAGTGGTGTATGTTTGACAAACGGATGATCACTGTGAGCTGATCGAACCTGTACTGCTACACCTCGACGGCAAACTGTGTCAGACGGCAACATTGATGGGAAATGTCATTTTTGAATCGGTAGATGCACATTTTTATGACGGAAGTTCTTTTTAATAGGAGCCTGGGGGATTGGAAAGTTGCAAAGGGAGCCACCAGCGCTTGCATGGATTATGGGATCGGATCCTGCAAGGGCCAATCGGTCACAACTGTCACCCCATATGCTTTGGTTTTGGTAGAATGAAATTCCTGCTTGGAATCTACTGTGCTAGAAAGGCAGTAGAATTGCCGAATTAGTTCCAAACACGCTAACGATGTTGAGTGAAGTCGTATGCATGGCGCAATTCCCGATTTCGACTTGATCAATGATCTCTTCTCCACATGATGAATGGAACAGTTTGTGAATCTCTATAATTTGCTCCTTCACAACCAATTTCAATAATAGACATTTATTCTGGTAGGAAAGATCATGTATCGATTGAGCAATGACGATCAATAATAAAATGCATGTGATAAAAATGGAAGGCAAAGAGAATCTAAAAGGAAATCGATAAATGAATCAATAAAAATCATGGTAACACAACATGGCAAATGAAAGCTGAAGCAACCTGAAAGAAATTGATCCTAGCGATGATGGAATGAATAAAATGTACATTTGAATATACGAAACGATTCTCATTTCAAACGAAAATCAATCGATATTCATGAAACACAGATGGTTATGGCAAGTGTTCAATGGGCTACAGGGAAATGGCATAAATCCTATCCACTGAACTATAAACTCCGCCTGGATGATACTACTCGGGAGATAATCGGAGTTTCATGAGGCAACTCCTCATCTGGGCGACTAAGAGGATCCCACATTGGAGCATCTGCTGAGCTAGATGATGGCCCGGCAGGTTGAGCTGCTACCCGGGCTATTGGCACCGATGGCTCGACTGCTGTTGGAACTCTAAACAACACCATAAATAATATTTCCAAAATAGTTGAAATCATTCGAGGTTTTCATCGGTTTCCACTTGTATAGAACATAAAGTCTGATGATTTTGACGCGCGCGGTCGCGTAGCAGTAGCAGGCTTTGCTCTGGGAGCATGAATGAAAAACGTATAGGTTTGTGAACACCTTCTTCAGTTTCCCTACATAAAATATTGCCACATCATGCAGATCTATTTACATAGGCCGCTTCGCAACCGCTCGCGTCCGACATAAGTGGGCAGCATAGGAACGGAATGAGTCCTGTCAAACAAAGTTTTGCGCAGAAGGAAACTCGAAAATGTCGCGAAGACTGATAATAAACGCGTTTTCAACCTGATGCTTTGAAATGGCGTGAGCCCAGAGTAGCCGCACCGCAGCAGCTCGCGTCAGTGATCTACAAATTACCCGAGTTCCCAATTATGAGCGCTTTCTTTGAATTATATGAAGCTCACTTTGCTCATTCAATTTACCGATACTACTCGTTATTATCAGCTGATGTAATAACGATCGAAGCCAATAATTAGATTATGATACCTTATCGGTGCATCCTTTGTAGCGTCCTCGTAAGAAGGAAGTGGAGGCAGGATGTCACCGCGCATTCGAGCTGAAAACTCAGATACTTTACGATTTCCAGCTGTCCTCAGTGCCTTGACACCGCTGATTTAAAAAAAAAAATCNGTGTCACTCTATCTGTCAGGTTCACTTGATTGAAAAGAGTTTTAATTTCTCATATCATCAAAAAAAAACCTGAATTTTTAGTCCGCTTTTTTTTATTTTTTTTTATTATTTCATCCTCACTCGTTGCTGACGTACTTGCATAGGAATGTAGCACATATGGCGGTGGTCCATCAATACCGGCGGCAACAAATGGTGCAATTCGTAAGTCTTCTGGTGAAATTACGTCTCCCCTTCGAGCAATACCGTAAATAGCCGCCGCGCGGGCCATTTCGTCGCGTCGCGATGCCGTGTACCGGGATTGGACCTTCAAAAAATTGTACAGCTAAAAATGTCACGAACCATAAGGCTTCAATTAGAGCTATTAGCCTAGGAAGGAAGAAGCGAGGGGCGTGACTTTTGGTGAGGGGTTGGCTTACCTGCATTCTGTGTTTCATGAGCAAATACATAGATACTACCAGTACGATAATCATCACTAGACTGAAGACAGTGCCGCTAATATCACGAGTGAACATTTCGTTGCTCTGAAACAAAATCAATAAATCGATAAAATCGGTGAGGCAGTTTTGATGAATGCCTCTAATGAGCCTGTTTGTTCGAAGACGTGTAAGGATAGCATAAGTCCAAACACGTCTGATCACGAGGTCCGAAATAGGAGTTGAAATATCACCGGGGCTCCTTTTCCAGAGTGCGCCACGTGCTCTATTGACCTTAACAATTTTTGATGCAGTTGCATGGTGCTACTTGATTTGGCTTTCCTTTTCTTTTTGAGAACATGATACATCGTCCAAACGGCCCACGACACCACTAACCACTGCGCTTGACAAATAGCTCAACAGCGCTGCTTTGGCTGGACGATGTTAACGGAATTTCGGGGATACGAATACCAACCGTTCTCCATAATTATCTCAGCTATCTAATTTGAATATATTCACGCATCCTCACAAAACTGAGTGGAACTTGTATACATGGCTAGACTCGAAGGAAATAATCATTCTCAAAGGCACTTTGATTTCATCCTTCGACTATTACATATCGTAAGGCGCTACTATACCGGAAGTTTTTTTTTTAAAAAAAAACAGCCCCAAAAATAGCAAATACCATGCCATATATTCATTTCAGCAGATTTCACATCAGTTCGAAGCCCCAGTCACAAAGTGGCCCAATGGCCAATCCCAGCACCTACTCAGCAGCTCAGTTCCCACGACTCGAAATACAGTTTTGCACTTGAAAGGTAACTTTCATGAAGGCGCTTCGAGAGGGATTCGCCTATCCCACTCACAAGACTTGTAGGGCACCTTTTAAGCGTACAGGACTTTGGATGACGGTACTTTTCGCCGAATTCGTACAGCAAGCGGCAGTGGTACCGGTGCGACTACCGTATTCCTCCATTGGGGATTCAAATCGTTCAGTTCTAGCGTGCGATCAGGTACGGCGAGGGCGACGCGATTTTCGGGGAAAGGCTACCACACCCCAAAACCTTTATCTCCACAAAGCACTCGAAAAAAATCGTCAAAATGTCCCGAAGGAAAGGTTCCAAAAAAAATGAAGTTTCCAAAAAAACTCGTTTAACATAGAATTTCATTATTCTAGATACAGACCTCTCCGAAACGTTGATATCGTCCTCCTTGTTTATTAGTTCGATTAGCATCAATTTCACAGTGATAGCCAACAAACGTTGGTGGGCATGTGCATCGTCCATGCATTTCCACCCCTTGAAATTGATACTCATTAATTACAATAATCTAAATTTTTTCAATTAATTAAAAAAACATAATTTTCTACTAACCACCATTGAGGCACACCATGTCTGTACATTGTTCGCCCTGGTAAAATGGCAAACAGCTACAGTAACTTCGACCGTCGACTCCTGAAATACAGATTGGACCACTTAACTTAAACCTCTTTTTTTATTAAATCATATCATCATATCATCATAAATTGTTTATTTATCGATTTTTTGCTTGTATTATTTTATCCCTACCAAATATTACTATACTTTATCATCAACTATTGTTATATTTTCGTTTTTTTGCTTCTTCTTTCTTGCAATCACATTACCATAAATTTCAAAACCAATGCAAAAAGTTTGTATTGAAAATTCAACTATTGGGTGATACGGTGCATTACTTACTAAAGTAATCCGGAAGAAGCAAATTTACTAATCTAATCAATCAAATGATGGACTATTCAAAAAATCGGCAACCACTATCATTTAATGTTTACAGCGCCTGCCATCCCCGTCACCTCGGCCACCTTGTAACTGATAGGACACAGCATTTAGACGGATTTCAACGACCCGTGAACGTGTGATACAGTAACCCTCCCCTATTAAACCACGACCGTCTTCAGTGGGTTTCACCCGAAATGCCTTTGTTCTGCGTAGTATATGTGACGGGTGTTTGGAGGTGCATCAACGTGTGTTCAGGTTACTGTGTCAAACAATCACGGGACGATTAAATCCGTCTTGTAACACAACATCGAAGGTTCTAACACGACCACCTTTACCGTAAGACTGGATTTGCCGTTTCGACATGGATTTTTCACGGGAGGAGTGCTCCTTTCTCAGTTCCTTCTCGTTTTTTTGCGCTTTTTCTCTTCTTACTCTAAGCAGCTACCAAAACGGAATGAACAGCAGCGTAGGAGAGAATGTGGTTGAAGACATCTTTCTCGAGGGGTGTCACCTGCTGGCGAAGCGCGAAGTCTGCTACTATGATAAGGACGATCGAATTAAGACCAACTGAAGTCAACTCAGAACGCAACGTGGCTTTCAATCTTTACCTGGTAACAGGTCAAATAGCCTCGTCAGAATGATTCCTGTTCCAGCTTTATTACTTCAATTAACTGAACGAGTAGAAAGGGCTCACACCTAGCGAACAGCCGAGTGGGAACGTTCCCCAGTAACAAACAGTTAGGATGAGAGGGGAGCCGCCTGGTTACATCTGGTACAGCAGTGATTGATCTCAGGTAATTACAGTCGAGGTCTTTTCAATAAGCCCTCGCTCTAACATCAAAATTGCCAAAAATGGGAAAGCATTTGATATTAATTCCGCTATTTTTGCATACTTTCATCCCTACTTTGCAGTTTATATGACAAGCGTGCTACGCGCTTGCGTCGCGTGCGATCAAAAAATCGATAGTGCGATAAAACAAATATTCACTTGGAAAAATAAAAGGATATTGAGCAAAGAGTAGCGACGAAGACTCAAAATATTAGGAAATCCAATGACACGGAAATTCATGAAAAATCAATGCCGAAATATCTGAACCTCACTTCTTGGCATTTTTTTTTATTTAGTATCTTTGATAATTTTTTTTGGATGAAATAATCAAGAAATCATCCTTTGTCATGAATGTATAACTGACCTTTCAGAATCTGTCCCTGATCGCAGATTTTGTCACAGAATTCACCGAAATACGGCTCACTGCATGCACAAATCATGCCTAACGACTGTGATCTATAGCCATTATTTTGGCATGGTGCCAACTTTCGACAATGCCTATCCAGCACATCCGCAGTTTCTGTAATGCAGCCAATTGAGAAATTTCATATTTTGTCGGTTTTAAATTTTGGATCGATGAAACGTTGGTTCCTATTTTTATGAAATTTTTAGGAAATTTTCTAGCCTTACCTGGACATTTGCATCGCACGCCATAGCCACTGAAACTAAAGTTGAATAGAGCTGTCGCTGAGAGCAGAAAGGAACCCTGAAAGGAGCAACAGTCGGCTTTACAGACGTGGGATTGAGAATTTCCCTTTCTGAGGCACCCAGAGCAGTTGAAGGTAGAAGGTGATCTGCGACAGTTCACGCTCTAAAAT